TGTGAAGCTCCATCCGTGCTGGATGATGTACGCTTTCTATGTATGCTGAACAGTGTTGCATGGAATCAGTACGTTGATAAGTACTCCATCAGAGTTCGACTCTATGGAATCCCATATGTAAAGGCCCAGAGATTTGGAAGCCAAGCTGTAGCATTTAGGCTATTTTTGGCAGTGCTTTCAATGGTTTTTAGAAGAGCTGATCAATTTCAATCAGCTTGGGAATGGACGGATCATCCAATGTATATCACAGATCCACAAGTCCATCAACCGAAGACCCGACACCAGAAACTAGGTCAATCGGGTATGCACTTCGTTACTTTGGCTCAAGTGGAAAAAGAGCGCGAGCGAGTATAGTTGCTCTTCAGCGGGGACCGGGGACCTTCACCAGCGAAATGGAACAGAATCAACGCCGACATTGACATGGTCAACCCAGGGTGAGTTCCGGGCTGCAGGTTTTGACTCACAGCCAGAAAAACCAGTCTAACCAGGACGACTTGGAGTTTGGGTGGATTTGCTTCGTAAAGAAGCCAAGTCACGACGGTCCACACGTTGCGAGAGGTCCGTTCGGAAAAAGGATCTCTGCCCCTGCCGGTGCCATTACGACACTCCCCGAAAGAGTCATTTAATAGGCTGAATCCCGAACCAACTAAGGATTTTACACTACGAAACCAGGTCAACCATTGTTTGAATGGTCTTGGAAGTCTAGGGGCATGGTCGTTACGTGGATGGTGTGGGCCCCTTTCGTTCGGATGACCAAATCAATCCAAACACCAAACAGCTGGACTTCACTTCCGGTTCTTTCAGAGAGTGTTTTACTGCAACGAACTGACTCCTTCGCGGTGAACCTGACTGGACCGGTCCGGACCGAAGCCGCCAGGGGGGTCCAAGCCCCGAGTCGCCCCCAACAAGCCCAAGAGGTGGGACACCCATTCTGCCACGCGACGAGAACGAAGCTCTTCATCTGGCAGCCATCCACCAGGAGGACCCGTTCAAAGGGCCGATGGAGTGCGCGGTGGCGGACGTGGCTCTCTGCTTTTTGCTCCAAAGGATGCCGTTTGGGGGATGGGCGGGGGAGGAGATGCAGGTCCACGTTGGATGGTTCTGTGCCTTAGGGGCGCAAAATGCTTCGGAACCTTGGGGAACCAGTCATGATTCTGATACAACCATGGATTCCTTGCGCTGCGGATTCCGCCGCGTTCGCGGCGGTTCTGTGGCCTTTGAAGCAGTCCTGTGTCATGACACGGGGCGGTCCGTGGAGCGCCAGGGCGCGCCAGAGCGCTTTTCCGAGACAAACCGGGCGGGTTGCCGGGTTGCAGCTGACCATATCTGACTCAGGAAGAGCCAATAAGTTCTGTATAAAGCACTCTGGAAGGTTTGGGAAATAGACCAGTCTACCTAGCCACGGCCAGGGGGTCTCCCTCGCCATGTATAGCCACTATATACATCATCGTCTTTTCTCTCCCCAAATTGTTATCGATGTCTTCACTTCGCTGCTTCAATCAGATACCATCAGAAACCACTGACAGCAGTGAATCCGGGGCACAAAAGACCATGTCAGACTCTGAAAGTCGTGGCAGAAAGCACACCATGTTCCCGCCCCAACCAGGGGGGAACCATGAAGGAAGAGGGAACATTGAGGTTGAATGTTTGAATCATGTTGTAGGCTAGATTCCCAGGCATCTTCTGTATTATTTGGAGGTGATGAGCGTTCAAATCCGGACCAGATGGTAGCAATCTGCAGAGTTTTTATGCAGATCTGCCCCCCCAGTCATTCTTTGTGCCTCATCCAGCAGCGCCACCACTTGCCGCGCATGCGCACGCGTCAGCAGCAGCACAGCGCGGCCGCCCTGCGGCCGCAGCACGCGCTGCAGCTCTGCAAGGAAGGCTGGCAGGAGGCCATTGACCTGGAAGGCGCAAAGCCCCGCGATTGGTTGGATGCAAACATGGATGTGTAATTATTCGAATAGCAAGACAAAGACCCGGAACTTGAACTGCAGCTATATTATGTGGCAGGAGGAAGGAACAAGTTACATCTCCGCCCCTGGCTCCGACCGGGGCTGGTGACGTAGATCTCCAACTGGCATGGAGTGAGTGGCGACCCATTCGGCTTAATCTTGCTAGCCGGCCACCAAAAGGAAAACCCTAAGTATAACTGTTGTGCCAAGATTTGTAGACAAAGCTGCCTTTCAGGGACCAAGTGAACCCCTCGTGTATGCTTGTCAAGCTTCCCCCAAACACATTCATCTTGAAAATGCCAGTGTACCATGTACCCACCTCCTTTATATGTCTTTTCAAAACATCAACTCTGCATGCTGAAGCCCACAGAGTGGGCGTGGGCTACTCTCCCACCACGTTCCACCGCGTTCCCCCCTTTCGAAAGTCCACCTTCACCTCCCCTCTCATCCCATCCTCGTCCAGTGGCCCAGATCAGTCGGTTGCGATTCCCAAAGGGCACGTCCGTGACCACCGCATCGACCGAGCCGTCCGGCAGCGTCAAGCGACGGCAGTCCTCCTGAACGGACCACGGCGAGCGGTGGCGAGGCGTTGCGGCGCTTTTCGGCGCGGGGTGCAGCACGGTGTGTGGCCGCTGGGCGGCGTAGAAGGGGAAGTTGGAGGGAAAAGACACTGGTTTTAGAGCAGAGTAAGCAGGGTGAAAGTTTGCTGAGGATTCCAAGGCGTCGAAGGCTACTTGAAAGTTGTGGCTTTATATGGCTTTATGGACGCTGCAGTGGCAAGTGGACTCACCGCGAAATTCTTGCACAAGCCATCTCCACCTAGTAGAAGACTGGTTCTTTGCTCTTTTTGAAGCCGACTTGATCGATTGTTCAGGCAAAGTTTACTATTGAGGCGTGTTCCATGATTTGCCAGCCTGGGGAACCTTGTCAAACGTACCCCATCTTTCACTGAAGGCGCTAGGGATTCTTTTGCTGAAAACAGAAATGCCATCACCCCATAGTGTCCATCTTCATACCCTCCGGATAAAATCACTTCAAAAAGATTGCAATCCCTTTTTTGACCTAGTGATCGGACGGCATCCGGCGCCATCTGGCCCCATCTGGCGGACTTCACCTCTCCTGTAGCACTTCCAAGGAGGATCCCGGCGCCAGAAACCTCAGCCACGAGCGTGTCACTCCACCTCACTTGACAGCAACCCCTTGACGTGGGGATTGTTATGGGTTGTGATCCAAAGTTCAGTACATCCCGTGTTTGATATATTACGACGTAGGTGCTATATTAGGTGCTGCAGGACCTCTCTGTGACGAAAGATGTGAAAGAGAGTTCAGATTGCAAGTGACGCCCCAAGGTCTCCATCTTCCTCCACGCGGTGTGGCCGGCCGATGGCGATGTCTTTCTCTCGCGCGGGCTCAGGGGGGGGGAAAGAAGCAAACCATTTAGAAGGATGTCCGGAGTTAAAGGAAGTTGGGACCCCCCAAAGAGATCGAAAATGTAGATCGGCACAGATCCGCACTGAATGTCTTGGAAGCCAACCGCCCGCTTTTTCATTTTTTGTGGAATCAGAATGAACACATGCATGGAAAAGATGGTCTGATCCCAGAGTTCACTGCTTGTGACATGACATGCCACACAAGATTCATCAAGTGGTCAGTCGTCTTTCTTCGGAAGTCGCTCGGAGGTCGGGCTCGTCGGCTATGGCCCCGGGGCGTTGTAATTCGATCTGGCGGACATGAAGCATCCACTCTCTTCAAAGTTCCAAGAACTTGCATTGTGAAGTAGGACCCTGAGTACAGTATATAACTGTATGTGTTTAGATCTAAGAGATCTATCCGCACCAACAACTCTGGTACCCATTGATCCTGAGGTCCATTCCTCCACTTGTCACCCAGCCCCGACCCTGGGCCTTGGTATCTTCCATGTTCCCGAAAGGCATGGGTCAATCTCCCAAGCCTCAAAACAAAAAAACACTTTCACTCGGAACAAATCCCGAGAAACGGATAAAAATATGAGAACATCACCCAACTTGACCAAAGTGCAAGATCCCAAGAACTATGACTATAATTCTTTCCAGTGAACCCCTAGTGTCCTAGTGTCCTGTCCGGTCGGTCGGCCAAACCCTTTCGTTCCCAGCCCACTGCCGCCGCGCCACGCCGCCGCCTGTGCCGCGTTGAGCCGCGCCGCCGCCGTGGCGTCGCCGCTGAGGTCGGAGCTGCGCGCGCGGAGGCGCGGCACGCGCACGGCGGCCTGGCTGAGCCAGGGCGGCTGGGGGGCGAGTGGGGCTTCCAAAGGAAGCCATGATAATACCAGGACTTCCAATGACTCATGAACTACTCCACCTGGTAGTCATCATCCACCACTACTATAGGGGTAAAATACGTCATTTGGACTGTCAGGGTACACTATACTGAGTTAGATGAAGCGAACTCCACCAGTGGATTTGGAGTGGCAAAGGTGTCACAAAAAGGTGTGACAGGTGTGGTGGCTATGGGAGCCGTTTTAAGTGTTCAGGTGGTGACCAGGAGCCTCCGATTTGGGGTGCCCTGGCTGGACTAGCCTATGCTACTACAGTACTATAGACTAGGCGTTCAGAACAGGCAAGCCCAAAGCGATGGTCCTGGGAGAAGTCTCTCTCTCTTGCTCTCTCTTCGGATCGCTGAACGAAAAAAACCCAAGCACCCTCAACAAAGATCCTGATTCGTAGAGTCTCCTGTTCAATCGCTGTTGACCCACATGCATGTCAGTACACTCCCTCTTCTAGTTGCAGCTGCAGTAGCTAGTAGCTAGTTGCCCCAACTTCTCTGGATAAAAAATGACCAACTAAGTGTTTGAGAGTGCACTGGATAGGGATAGGTGGGCTTCACGACGTTTGGAAGTCTGATCGCCTCCTTTGCATCTTCCCGATCATAAAGCGTTCCATTTCTGGAACCAAGCACCAATCCCAAGTGGTGGGTTTTAATATGTCTTTATGTTGTTGTGTTGTCCCTGTCGAAAGAATCTTTCGAATTTGTGGCAAGAGGTCTGAGGGGTATCAAAGACTACGACCTCATAAGGGTCCCTTCGCGCCGCGAACGCCTTTTTGGATCCCGCGCACGGCGCCGGTCAAGAGAGAAAATGGTTCATTCTAATGGCTGCTGCTCGCGAAAAACGGCGACGTCTCAAAAAGGACCAGATGAACTTGACACCACAAGATCTCACAGAGCTCATCCTGGGTGACCCCCTATTTTGAGACATTTTGCAGAGTAGAGAACTGGCTCACACATCGCTGGCAGCCCAGCTTGCTCGCAGGAAACTGTCCCCAGCATCAGGTTTGCTCACCGGCACCCGTTGCGCTTGCAGTGGAGCCTCCTGCGCGACAGAGATTTTCTGCTTCAACCCTTGCGGCTCCTTGGTTTCGAAGGTGGACATATCCTAGCCTTCAGTTTGACCATTCAAAGAGTTCAGTTGACCTGTTCTTGTGGGGTAAAACACATCGTCAAACACTCGTAACGCTTGTTTCTTCAGGCCATTCAAAACCACGCTTGGCAACAAAAAAAGATGAGAAAACGGAGCTCCCATTGGGTCCGTCTCTCGGTCCGAAGGTCCGAGTGACCCGCAGTGATGGAACCGGCCGCCTGGCGCCGCCTGGGGGCGGCTCCACTTCGGTAATTCAGTGGTTTCCAGTTGTGCTTCAGTTCAACATGTGGTGAAAACAACTCAAGTCATGCAGTACTGCATAGTACTGCAGTGACCTGCTTCAGTGTCTGTGCTTCAGTTCCACTTGCCTTAGTTCTGCCCATGTTCAAGTGCTGCCCATGTTAAAAGAAAAGAGAACGGCCAACGGTTGCAGAACAACCCCTGGACCTGGAGGGTGTTCCCCTATCGCTCGAGGTATCAGATGAAAGACTTCGCCCCGGAATGGATCCTTCTTCCTCGTGATCGACGCTGAAATCATCTATACCGTCCTTATAGACTCTCTCGGCTCATGCTTGGTGAATACCTGTGCTCAGGGCGCCCATCATCCAGCGACCGGGCGCCTTCCCCCCCCCCCATCTTCCCCCCTGCTGTGGTTCTTCTCATCTCCTCGTCCGGCACGTGACCGCCCAGAAACTGGGGCAACATCGCCAGCTTCAGCCGCGCGTGGGCCCAGAGTCCAGCAGCAAAATCCTCGGCGAGGAAGCAGACCTCCAGTCGCGTTGCTACGCGGTCGCATGGAGCCGCAGGAGGCGAGGCGGCCGCATGGAGATGTTCATGTCATGTGACACTGTAGGAGGATGTATGTAGGAGGTTTATATCGTGAAATGATGTGAACCCGTGGCAGTGTGAAATCGGTGTTGTGGTGGGTGTTGAAGTGGGGTTCAAAATGTCAAAATGGTGGTGTGATGGGCTCAAAGAAGGAACTGTGATGCAAGAGAGATCTTTACTTCCGGGGAAATGCCCTTTGGATTGAAATACACTGACAAAGAAGATCTGATACCTTAATAGTCTATGTCTCAAGCGTCCTAGTAGAGTCCTGACAACGTATTTGCAATACTACTTGCAATGTGCTCCTCAAGTAGATAGAACCGAACATACATCCCACTAGCCACCAGGAACACCGATCAAAAATAATCCTAACCCCAGAGGCTCATGGACCCTCAAACTGCTACATGTTGGTTGACTCTGAGCCTTGGGTATATCAAGAATCCTTCTCGCTCAACCCTGCCGAAACCCTCCGACACAAACTTGGCGGAGTCGCCACGAGGAGTCGCCACGTCGCGTGGGGCGTGGGGCGTGGGGGTTCTTTCGACCGGCGCGTGATGTGACGGCCGGGCACCTTCTGCTGCACGTGCTGCGAGAGCCAAGGCTTCAGGAGCTCATAGAGCTTCACCACGCTCCAGGGCGCACGCACCACCGTGACGGAGGCCGAGACCTCTGGGAAGTGGTCCTGGGGCGGCGGAAGCGAGTGTGTGAGGTGGGCGGTGGACGCCAAGGCGGTTTTGACCAGGATTGGAGTCGGAGGTATAGAAAGCAAGCGGCAAAAAGAGGAGAAAGAGGCAACAAAATTAAACAACACAAAGGAATTTGCATAGATGAGTGAGTTGAGGAGATGAGAAATGGTTTTGACATGAAGACAGCATGGGGTGCTGTTTTGCGCCCTAGTGTTGTGCCAGTGTTTACACATGTGTGTCCAGTCCTTTCGTTCTATTTGGTTCTATTTCCCCATCTGGGACCTCTGGTGAACCCTTGGACAAACCGGGTCGGCCAAGGGCCAGCCACGCCCTTGGCAGCCGACACCCGACCCTAGGGGTCCACCGTTGACGAAGGTCTACCGCGGAGGTCCATCGATCGTTGGTCCATGCCTACCAGGAGTCACAAAAGGGTGCCGAACTTGGAGGATAGGGGTGCCCATTATCCACTCACTTAGGAACTAAAAACATCTAAAAACCAGGCCCTTTGTTACTCCTGGTAGGCAGTGCGTGTTCAATAACCTAGGCCAGCGCATTGGCACCCTCTGGACATAGAAAAAAGAGATGTGATTGGTCTGACAAGGACTGATCCCACAAATTGAATCGCCCTCCTCTTTTTTGAGAAAAGCTCGCTATGTTTTATGCTCATCAAACCAAATCAGTCCGACAGCCATCGTGCTTTACCTGATCAGGACAAATCCAACAGTCACCAAAAGATACCAAAAGAGATGTTTGTGTCGGGGGGAAAGAGTCAACAACCCCACTCAACTGGCTTGCCACATAGCTACCTATGGGAACACTAGTATACCACCCTCAAGGCTCTTGACTCAATTCCCAATCTACATAAGGTGCCCAAAATGGTCTTCGGCATTTGAGCCAGGAGTTCTGGGGGAGGTTTGAAAAAATCGACCTGCCAAGCCTGACTATGGCCATGGCCAATCGCTCCAGTGATGTTCTGGGTATGCCAAGGAGCTTGCATCAAGCGCATGATGTGATGAAGCACCTGCCGTGCTCGAAACGTTCCTCCCACAGGTTGAAAATGAAGAAGGTGGGATCGGGACATGGATCGGACCACGGGCATGCAGCATGCGAAGATGGAAGTCCTGTCTGGCAGGAGTAAACATCTTTGAGGGTCAAGTTCATTTTGAGAGAAGCCCAGTAAGTAAGGCGCAAGTCTGAGCAACTTAAAAGAACCAACGTGCATAACATACACCCGTCCATAGTATAACAGGTGGGCGGAATTTGAGGGGATTGCGTGCTCCAACCAGTCTCCAGTTGACCTGCAAAGTCGAAAAAGATGGTGCTTGCTGGGAGGGAGATGCTTGGGCTGCCTTCGGGAGATGCTTCGCCGCTGAGTCTTCAGGTTGGAGTCCCAAAATAGATGGAACTGGAAGGTTGGGGTATCGAGACAATCATGGAAGTGAAGTTCACCACCTGTTTAGTATTCGGAAAATGGTCATGCAATGGGGCCATCATTGTTTCCACTTCCAATTTCAGGGAGTGTCGATTTTTACGACCAAAAAATTGGATCCTTTCGAAAGGAATCCGTGGTTGGTGAGGCAGGCTCCGGTTCCATGGACCCCAGCATGGAAGCACTTTGGCCTTCAAGTGAACGGGGTGCCAGTAGCTATTTCGTGGGGATTTTAGAAAGGACAAAAGTATACAGTATACAGTAGTATACAGTAGCTATTTTAGAAAGGATTTTAGAAAGCAGTAGCTATTTAGTATACAAAAGTAAGTCAAGAACCTTTTTAAGCAAAGCTCATCAACCGGTTTGGAGGAATGTCTCTCGACACCCAGGTCCCCCAAGTTGAGGCCTTGGTAAGATCCCAGTCCCTCACACCTATCCCCCCATCATGTAGACTGTGGGCACGTGATGATATTTCAATCTCCCCAAGCCTGAAGAAGTCTTTTAATCCATTTCTAAGGGGGAGTTGATTCATCAAGAGTCCGGCACCCCCCCAGATCCCCCAGATCCGATCGCCCCAGAGCCCCACCTGCAGATATCTCAAATTCACCAGATCAAAGCCCTGGGCATCCACCACCACCCGCGCACGCACCAGGCGGCCCCTGGACGTGCTGCGCGCACTTTGCAGGGCATCTTCGAAGTGTGCCACGTAGGCGCGGATCATCTCGTCCACCTCAGATCATCCCAGATCACCTCCGTCCCAACATCCACCAGGAGACTCTTCGGGGAAAAAGGGCCGACTCCAAAGCACCATCCCGTGGGACTCGCCAAGGCGGCTGATGAATACTTCGGAGGGCGTAGGGATGAGTCTTTCTGGGGCGGCATAGATTCCAGTCCCATGAATGGTCTTG